TTGTTGGTCAGGTGTCAGTCAGTGGTTGGTTAACTGTAAGTCAGTGGTTGGTTAACTGTAAGTCAGTGGTTGGTCAGGTGTCCAAGTCAGTGGTTGGGCACATGTCAGTCAGTGGTTGGTCAGGTGTCAGTCAGTGGTTGGTTAACTGTAAGTCAATGGTTGGGTCAGGTGTAAGTCAGTGGTTGGTCAGGTGTCAGTCAGTGGTTGGTAAGTAGTCAGACAGTGGTTGGTCAGGTGTCAGTCAGTGGTTGGTCAGGTGTCAGTCAGTTTTTGGTAAGGTGTCAGTCAGTGGTTGGTCAGGTGTCAGTCAGTGGTTGGTCAGGTTGCAGTCAGTGGTTGTTTAGCTGTAAGTCAATGGTTGGGTCAGGTGTCAGTCAGTGGTTGGTCAGGTGTCAGTCAGTGGTTGGGCAGGTGTCAGTCAGTGGTTGGTTAACTGTAAGTCAATGGTTGGGTCAGGTGTCAGTCAGTGGTTGGGCAGGTGTCAGTCAGTGGTTGGTCAGGTATCAGTCAGTGGTTGGTAAGGTATCAGTCAATGGTTGGTCAACTGTAAGTCAGTGGTTGGTCAGGTGTCAGCCAGTGGTTGGTCAGGTGTCAGTCAGTGGTTGGTTAACTGTAAGTCGATGGTTGGGTCAGGTGTCAGTCAGTGGTTGGGCAGGTGTCAGTCAGTGGTTGGTCAGGTGTCAGTCAGTGGTTGGTAAGGTATCAGTCAATGGTTGGTTAACTGTAAGTCAGGGTTGGTCAGGTGTCAGTCAGTGGTTGGTCAGGTGTCAGTCAGTGGTTGGTCAGGTGTCAGTCAGTGGTTGGTCAGGTGTCAGTCAGTGGTTGGTTAACTGTAAGTCAATGGTTGGTCAGGTGTAAGTCAGTGGTTGGTAAGGTGTCAGACAGTGGTTGGTCAGGTGTCAGTCAGTGGTTGGTCAGGTGTCAGTCAGTGGTTGGTCACGTGTCAGTCAGTGGTTGGTCAGGTGTCAGACAGTAGTTGGTCAGGTGTCAGTCAGTGGTTGGTCAGGTGTCAGTCAGTGGTTGGTCAGGTGTCAGTCAGTGGTTGGTCAGGTGTCAGTCAGTGGTTGGTCAGGTGTAAGTCAGTGGTTGGTCAGGTGTCAGTCAGTGGTTGGTCAGGTGTAAGTCAGTGGTTGGTCAGGTGTCAGTCAGTGGTTGGTCAGGTGTCAGTCAGGGGTTGATCAGGTGTCAGACAGTGGTTGGTCAGGTGTCAGTCAGTGGTTGGTCAGGTGTCAGTCAGTGGTTGGTCAGGTGTCAGTCAGTGGTTGGTCAGGTTGCAGTCAGTGGTTGTTTAGCTGTAAGTCAGTGGCTGGTGAAGTGTCAGTCAGTGGTTGGTGAGGTGTCAGTCAGTGGTTGGTGAAGCGTCAGTCAGTGATTGGTCAGGGGGTTAGTCAGTTGCTTTTAAGATGTCAGTAGTGGCTGATATTATAGAATAACTAATATAAATCATGAAACCTACCTTCCTGTCAGTTTGCACTGGCCATTGCTTGTCTTTGTTATTCTCAAGTCAAATTTAGCTGGTTTTGTAGACAAGCTGTTGAAGAAAAGCAAATGTTGGTTAGATGAAATATGACATTTGGAATGTTAATGAAAACCAGTGGTGAAGGTAACACAACATCATTCATATGTATGTTATACATGTAATAATATGATAGATGACCTTACCTGTGTCAGTCAGTAGTGCCCCTTTTTTGTCTGTTATTCTGTATTCAATTCAACTGGCTGGGTGGACAAGCTGTTGAGCAAAAGCAAATGTTGGTGAATAAAGAATTATCTTTTTCATAGAAAGCCAATTTAGATATAGAGGATATTATGTTGCCGCTCGGAAATACAAACTTTATCTTCGGGAGGTGCAAACAAGTGATATTCTCGGCATGAGAAGGTGAACTCTGTATCTCCAACGACCATGTAATATTCTGTTTGATATATAATTATCTGATTGCCCCAAGTTGTTATTAAAGATACTTACCTAATGCACCCCAGCACAAACACATCATGTACTGCAAGGCTGCAGTACATATCATCTGGTAGATATCTGTAGGACATCATAGGTAAATGACATAGAATGTCACCACAGTCTCTTGTAATACTCTGTGTAAAGCCACAGTACATATCATCTGGTAGATATCTGTAGGACATCATGGG